AGAATTTTACTGGAACATTGAACATTAACATTTTCCAAATTTCATTATTATGGACCAATCGGAAGTGACATACATGGTCAATATGATACTATTTTCTGAAACAATATTTTAATATTTTAATAACAGCAATGTTTTAATGTTAGAAATAGAATTTTGTTGAATTTATACTTTTTATGTATGTTATTTATCATCATAATAATTATTTAATTAGTAATAATTAATTATTTTGTAAATATGATTAAGTATTAATATTAAACATTAACTGTATTTAGCAAATTTATATATCAGCGAAATAAAATAAAATAAAATAAAATAAAATAAAATAAAATAAAATAAAATAAAATAAAATAAAATAAAATAAAAGCTAATAATTAGGTTTGTTATAGTAGTTCCATTCAAAATGGCGTAAAACAGATTACTAGTATGTTACTATTTCGATTACTACACAGTGTTTTATTTTTTGCTCTTTAGATCCTGTATGAGAAACTCAAGCAACAGTTGTCAGTTCAAATAATTATGTACATTCTAATAATAGCCTCTTATTTCATCTTCTTTGCTAAAACCAACATTATATAATAAACATAATTGCACCCAACATATTAATTTTCGCAATTTTCCAAGTAGTCACTCCGCAGGGAAGGGCATAGCTCATCTGCGTAATTAGAACACCGACATTCTCCCGCCACATGAGCAACGTTATATTTCGATACAAATAATTGCAGATTACTTCTTTTCTTTAAAAGAGGGAATTAAATAATCCCAATTGTGTAGTTGATGTGATATGTTTGTTTTTTTTTTGGGGGGGGGGATAGTGAATCATCAATAATTTTAGGTGGCATATTGTTCTCGACGTGAAATCCTGGCAGAGACCCCAGGGAGCCGCTATAGTACCGCCGTGTGTAAGGCGTTGAAGTGAAGATATAAACAAAAATCGACATGCCCGGAATTTGGTATGTTAGCTATCACCTGCAAGTGCGAGTACATTTCACGTTACCAAAAGTCGGTGTTTGCTTTTCAGAAGTAAAATTCGGGCTTCTCTGCTGCTGACATTACGGCTCATCTGTTAACATCCCACGCCCATTTTTCTCTTCGGCGCATAGCTGCGGTCGTTTCATTATCGATATTTGTTAACAAAAACAAGATTACCTACAAAACGGCTTTTAATTTAATAGTCATTTTAATTAGGCAATTAGGTAAAGTTCGAACAATAAACGTAATGTGATAAGATTATAACGAGATGCATCACGGGAGAACGTTTATTAAATTGGTTATATGGTAAATTAAAAACGTTGTATTGCAACACGAAAAATAGTATTTGTTCCATAGAGCTGCGAACGTGCTTTGAATTAACGGTACATACTAGTACTGTTGCATAATTATTGTCATTTTATTTAGCAGGAGTTGTAATAGTAGTAGCCGAATGAGAATGGACAATTGAAATGTTGTCGGTAGCATACATTTGTTGTAGTCATAGCCTTTTTTGCGCAGAACATGTCTGGCAGTGTGTGCCTGGAAACAAAATTACGTGGTTTTGATTGGGCGCACTGCTAATTGCAAACGAATGGATGGTTGCAGATGTTTTTATCGTTCGGCACTAAGAACATTCGCGGACTCTGTTTATTGAAAGGTAGTTCTAAAGATCGATGTATTCGAACGGTGCACCCGAAGACGTTGCGGACATCAATACTCCGTGAGTTTATTTCCCCCATGGTCTGTATCGCTGTCAGATTGGCAACATTTGACTTTACTGTAGTATTCTAAATGGGTATAAACGTGTCAGTGTCGATGCCAATTCAGATTTTAAGATTGTTCTTCAAACCTCCAGGAGCGTCTGTTTGAAATTCACAGCGAGTAATAAACATGTTAATGTACAGATTTTGAAAATAGTCAATTTCGATCGAAAATGCGCACAACAACCTCCTTAAAGCCCTTTCTTGTGTTTTCAAGATTACTAGTTTTTACAATGAGATCACCTACTCACAAGCAATAATGGACCGAATGCTCATTGGAAAGTGTCTAACAACCGTGTATCCCTTATACGGATCAATTGGCCACACATTAATCTGGATTTTCATGTTGGTCCACTTAGCGGTGATTGAACTAGCGCAGCATTATACGGAGTTGAAGTCGTTGTTTTTTAGGAAGCACCACAAAAACAATTTAAATCAATCGAGTGTCGGGTTTGTTATTGTTTTTTGTTGTTGTATAATCGCAAGCACCGGATTACAAAATAATGCCGAGCATGGAAACCAAATGTATACGCTTTCTCTGTCAGTGTGAACGCAATTCGGGTTGATTTGACATTTAAGGAGCGTTGTTGAATAAACACGAGTTATCGCCAGAATTCATTGAAAAAGACAAGTTCATTAGTGCGGGAAGTATTTATGTCGTTTTACGATTCAAATTCAATCACTCGTACCTCGTTTCTTTTGCCGCGGAATGAATGAAAGTATGCAGACTGCGGTGATTTAGGGAATCGTTAAAAGCTAGAGCTAACTAGAGCCTTGCAACAGTAACAACAATATACGAATTCCAGTCACCACAGCTAAATTGGACGTTATTGCATAAGACACAGTCTGATGACTGCCATCACTGTTGACGAGAACATGAAATTTATCCAACTAATTAAGACCACTAATATTAATTATATATATATATATATATATCCTCAGGGCGGAGCTACGTCACTAGACGTTCCACGTTGCTAAGACGCGCACCACTGTATCACGTATTATTTCTATGGGCTCTGTGCGCGCTGCTGTGGAACGCCGATCGAGCCGGTGAAAATTCGGGAAAACAACACAAACTCAACTTTGAAGTAATCCTGAACAACCAAATTTATATATGTTACACACGCTGGGCTGATTTTGTTACAATGTTCAGGGGAGTCTAAACAACCATCCCAAAGTACCGTTTTCTGCGAGTTTGTGGCCTTTGTTTTCACCGCGATGGTTGCCAGGCGGTGAAAATGCCTGGATGTCCGCCCGAAGATACTAGTAGTTTAATCATGCACTTTTCCAATATGTCGCGCCCTCTAGCGCCGAAGCGTTTCTGTGGCGTCAGAATGACATAGTTTGTGTAAGAAGGTCTGTCAAAGAGACGACTCTGTCTGATTGTGAAATCGTTCGTCATTTATATTATGGCCTGTATCATAAAAAGGTTGTTCTATTTTTTATTGACGAAATGTTCAAAGGTATCAACGCTGTGAACGGCTTCTCATACACCTATTACGTCAAAGAGACACCGATGCTTGAGTTCACGAGCAGGAATGATTTTTTTAGAATATCGTCGCGTCCAACCAAACTGTTGTTTCGTTAACAATCGTGCGTACCTTTTGCGACAAAATCGAACGATTTTTTTTTTTTTTTTGCTATTCTTTGTGCAATTATTCCGCAGGAAATAATTATTTACAAACACAACCCGATGCTCAAAACTGGGGAGAAAATGATTCTTGTCGCCCGGCATAGCATTTGCTCCTGCGTTCCGGTTTTGCATATTCATCAGTAAATGGATACAGATTGTCAGCTTATCTTTAATACTAACTGAAATATTGCTCTAAATTCAATTCTATGATAAGCCGCCACCGAGACTCGGAGACGATCGATCGATCTGATTGGAGCTTCAAAACAACTTATAACAATAGCAATGTGTCGTGAAGAGGTAATGACTAACGGTCTGCCATAGTCTACGGATATTTTAAAGTGGGGAAGTCGTCCCCTGCGCATGCGTCAGATGGCCATAGCGTGTCATTGTTTACATACAAGCGTCTACCCATGAGCCTATGCGCTGTTAGCGTGTGTTGTTATCGTCGCTTGCGACTCAATTCCCGCGCATGCGCAGGTGACGACCTCCCGCTTTGAAAGTCAAAACGAGTAAATTGCGAAATCAGTCAACCAAATTTTACGCCACCATCTGCTGACCTGAATGATTTTTTCAGCGACCGTGTAACCATTTATCACGCGCAAAAAAAGCAATTCACTTCTCTTTATGCTAGAAAGTAACACCAGTACCTTGTTGCAATCATCTCACGGAAATTTGATTTACTACGTCCGATAGATGTATAAATCGATCGATTGTCGCAATAATGTGATTTTCGCGTCGTGCTAAGTAGACGCATGAAAATACATCAGAACACAGTTTGTAATCGTTCGAGACAGGTGCGCATGCGTATTTGTCTTCGTCTTTTCCTAAACTCCTTCTTCCTACATTGAAACTGCAATCTCCATGGAAACCTGACATATTTAAACTGCTATATCTTTAAACCATCGAATGCGTCAATTCAAGACGCCTCATTTTCACAGTATTTTGGTAAAAATCAGAGAAAAAGTCGTTAGCGCCGCCTTCCCTTTGAACTGGCGCATGCGCTGCGTATTGTTTTGGTCCTACATATTACAACGAACACTATTCAAACTTCAGAATGTATCAGTAATTACAAATTCATATTAATGAATTGAAACGTAACTTCCGGATTAGAATATGCATAAAATCGAGGTTAACTTGATTATAGTTAATGACAACTGACGCATGCGCAGTGGCTGTGGTTCGCAATTGTCTCCAATGATGACGGGCCCGGGGTACTAGTAACAGCTGCTAGTGATAATAAAATTAACCACATTACCCACAATGCCTCAATAAATGGAGAACACTGCATCAGCAAACCGTTTCCGAATTACTGTAAGCAAGGCCATATGTCGGTGTCTCAGCTGGACAGGACTGTGCTTTCAGACGTGGGCGCGGTTTCCATTCAGAATTGAGTTGCGCTTTAGGTATTGAAAAACCACAGACAGGTGTCGATTAAGTCAACTCATATAAATCTCCTATGTTGTTAGTGGCTGCAGATCAAAATAAACCTTAGATACGTGTTATGGGCAGTGGTCACCGGGCAACCCCGCTTATTTTAATTGCATAGTAAACATATGGTTAGATGACATAATACGTGTGACTGAACCGTCGTGCACGGCACTCATTGCTGTATTCTCTGTTTTGTTCTAGATATAAAGATGAGCGAGTTAGACTCCCCCATGTACGACATGAACAGTAGCTGGAATTATACTGCTTTGGACAGCATGGTCCTCACGGACAAGGACCTGGAGCTCCTACTTTACTCTGACATGGACGTGGTCCTGGTGACTATCATCATGCCCATTGTGTTCACTGTAGGGATGCTGGGAAATTCTCTAATAGTCTACGTGTTTGCCAGAGTGCGTGAAATGCAGACGGTGACTAACTATTTCTTGGTGAACCTGGCCGTGGCGGACATGTTGTTTTTGCTCTCGGTGGTGCCTCCAAAATTGATTCAGTACTACTCGACACCGTTACCAATGCTGGAAGATTGGTCGTCGCTCGGTGACTGGGGTTGCACCATTATAAGCTTTCCGTCTGCCGTCGCCATCACCGCCTCTAGCATGACTATCATTCTCTTGGCTCTCGAGAAGTTTCTGGCTGTCCGGTGGCCGTTCAAATTCAAAACTCTGAGAACGAAACCAAAAGCTATAGTTGCCTGCACCGTGATCTGGATGATTGCTGTTCTCTACTGCTTTCCAGAGGTGTATATCCTACGAATTCGGACCTACCCTATAATCTGGCCCTCGGATTGGAATGGAACGTGGGTGCCCGATACCCTGCGATTGTGCATGCACAGCTGCGGAATAGGCCGGCAATGTCAGCCGTATAACGCTTACTACATGTTCGATCGTGTCGTCTTCATTATGGTCGTCCCGATACTGGCGTTTCTCTATTTTATGACCCTGGCACACTTGAAGGACAGAGCTGGACATGGAACATCAAGTGCATCGATTCGTGCCAAGAAACAAGTAGTACGGATGTTGATTGCAACCACGATGATTTACCTGGTATGCGTCACGCCGTTTCGTTTTCTGACTCTTCTACAAACGTTGAATAACGTATGGATTCCACCTGAGCCGCTGTCATTGTTATTGTACACATCGCGTATTCTAATGTACATCAATTCGTCGATCAATCCGGCCATCTACAATGTGCTCAACGAAAGATATAGAAGGGCTTTCAAAGAGGCGCTGTGTTTCTGCAAGAATGAACGAGTCATCACGAACAGCAGTAAATACACCTCTCCTACCACCCGAACGTAAAAGACGACCGTCACCCATGGCTTGCGATGATGAGCTGAAAGGACAGGGAGCGTCGTGCAGCGTGAATGCGAATTTATGTGTTGGTAATGCATTTTACGCGTGTTCTTACGAATGAGTCACATGAGACCTACATCGATCGCGATCCATCACGGCCACCAACATAAAAAAAAAAAAAACTATGTAAAATTTTAGAATTTTTTTTATAAAGATTATCCATACAGAATTCCAGTCGAGTAAATGCTATTGTATTTGAAGTAAGCGGTTGAACAACGAAGATTATTCAAACCCACGCGTGTGCACAAATCCAAGTAGGCAAAGTCACGTACGAACGTCGCAGACGATCGGGACATCACGAGCATGAATGAAACATTGCGTCATATGGGATTATCTTTGGTTTTATTGGAAGATTATCTTTCACCCGTGCTTACATGACAGAAGAAACGAGTGGGCGTCCAGAGAGTAGCTTTAACGCTTCTAGCATCGAAATGACTTGCCAGAAAAAAAAAAGATACTTATATATATAACTATACTGCTGTCGGATTTACGATAAGCTCTTCACTAAACACACACACACACACACACACTATTATCATAAGCATTCTAAATTACAGACCCTTCAACAGGAGTTCCAATTATCCGGGGAAAAAAAATAGGTGTATAGTTTTATTTCACTTTCAGACAAATTATATTGATATTAATGTGCACTTTTTGGCTTCTTTATTTCTAGAGCTTATATTCAGTCTTCTCTCCTATGACTGGCATCCCATATTCGGAAATGTATTCACTGGTATAATATGCACAATACACATTCGACGCATATCCTCGCTCTCCAAACCATACCCTTATTTCGTACCCCCCATTTTTTGGATAAAACAATCTTCATTTATTTATTTAGTGATCCACCTGTTTGTTTATTTATTGATTCGTTCAATTACTGAATGATTGTTTGTTTTTTTTACTTCAAAACTTGATACGGTTTGGCGCTGTCAGGAATGTGAATCATAAAATAGTCTGGTTATACATTGCGCATGCTCGCAATGCATTATCCCCCCCCCCCAAAAAAGCCGTTTATTTCAAGTTCCAAACATTCCATTGTAGACCCACCAAACATTAACCTCAAAACATACATTTCATATTTATATATTTTTCCTCGTGCAATAATTGAACACATATCTGCCAACAAATTGCTTTGTTATTGTTCTTTCCAATAGTCACACTATAACATCCTCTGTCATTACTTTTCATATTGATTTGCCCCCTCTAACGTTGTACACCCTCGTTCGCAAGTTATTTTTGTCATCAACTTAATGTGTGACATTTCATTATAAATTCATGATAATTATAATTAATGTATCGTAATTTGTAACTGGTGGGGGAACTGTAGCAATACTGGTCAATCCCCCTCCTCCTTCCAGGATGAAAAAAGAGATTAATTGTTATAAGCTGTTAACCATCTTCAACATTTCATGTGTTTTTTTTTTAAACTTGTAGTTAAACTATAAATTTGAAAGTCAGGTGAAAATTTGACGTACAATTACAATTATAATCTTATTTTCATTGTATGTTAATTAAATATAAATAAGAGGGTATCAAATTTGGATGATTGTATCCAGATGACGTCACAGATGTTAACAAGCAGTGGATAAATGTGTGAGTGGTATAGTGTATCTCTCCACTTTTCTGTTTGTTTGTTAGTTTGTTTGTTTTCTTACGTTGCATTAGTGTACATTGCGTTTTTACAGGATGTACTTATTTGGTTTACCAATGAGGACAATTTATTATGCCTTATGTACTTTTCTCTAATATATATCTTCTGACAAAAAAAACATGCTTGGAACTTGAAGTAATCAACTTACCATGATGTACGTAACGAGGTAATGACACCTACCGTGGCTATGCGTATATACACGTAAGTAGCGTGGGAATGGGAAGTGTGTACGGCAGTAAGGAAACATAATATCGACATGCAGCTTATACGTGTATGGATGCTTGCGATGGAGATCTCATTTATACTGATATTTGATTGCAAAAACAAATCTCACAACACACAATACGTTTTGACCAAACCATCTATTTTCACAGTAAGGTGTATGTTTGATGAGTTCTCGTGTTTAGCGTGATCTTCACAACATGTCGTCAGAACCTAGTTGATCTTTAATCCAACTTACCGTGCCGATATCGTAATTTCATTTCCCAGTGTTTACGACTACTGTAAAAGCAGTAATTTTCGCTAGTATTTAATTCAACTGTTTTGATATTTGATCTCATTCACTTAAGGGTTATTTTTTTTTAAATGTCATGGATTCTGTAGTGAAACAATGAATTTTATTGTTAAAATTAATATGTATTAGCGAATTAATTTCACTCATAAAGTAAACGCAGTGAATAATTAATGCGTTTACGGTATAAATAAGGTATATCATCATGGCGCATGCGTGGGAGCTGATGATATGTTGTATTTCTGAGAAGTGAAGTACAAACTGTTGCGTGTTTTCAAATATTACTATAAGAACGTGACATGCGCACTACGCCTTCTCGATAAGTCGTGTCCATTAGATATGTGAAAGCTGTTACTGGGTTTGGTTGTGTATTCGTTCGTTATTTGGAATATATTAAATTGCTCAAGAACGATATATGTTAATGGCGGGCGATTTCAGACGAGAACGCCTTACACCCATCACATCACAGGACGCAACTTACAGTGGCGGCGGGTTGTGCGCACGTTACCAAGATGACATTACTTGAATGCGCACTGTACACGATAGTGATTGGTTGGAACGCATACACACACACGCCATTATTACAAGAGTCGTTGTCTATTTCTCCTGACGTCAATGTTCCGATACATGTACGGCAAAGTGACGTCACGATTTGAACGGCACGCACAGAGTGTGAGTAGTGCACATCGATGCGACATTATTATCATTCCTCATTTTGTAGAATGTGTTTATCATATTTTGAAAACTGTATCTTTTCATGACGTATTGTATCAAAGTATTAATAAATTTTGTTTTTTAAAATGCCGTTCATTCGTGTTTTCAGATGTTAATATTAAGGAATAACGTGCTGAGTTTTCGATGTTTTCAAAACAATCGTCATTTTTTAAAACAAGGGCGATAAAACTCGCCTTGATAGGATTTCAAACTGTGGTGTGAACTAACAACACAAATCGAAATAAGATGCCCCAAACGTTCGGATTTTATAATGATGGTAAAGTCGGACAAAAAGTTAATTTTAATCAGCCCCGGCAATGTGTCTACTGATTATATTAATTAGTTCATTTTCTTAATTAGCATCTGTGAAAAAAAAACACATTATATAATCAGCATTTTCGAAAGTCAATTAATTATCATGATATGGTTACGCGAATAAAATTATTACTACCAAGTAATGAAAGACTTTTCTAACTATAGTTGTTAGGTAAAAAAAATACTAGCAGGAGGCAATTGTTAATAACCAAGACTGAATTGATCACAAATTATTGGTCATTGTTTGGTGCGAAAAAATAATTCGGTGCCCATAGCCAAAGTGTAGGAAAACAGCATTTATTTTTTGTGAAAACCAAACTGGAATGAACAACTGAAAATAAATTTAAAGTATTCCGATTTGTGAGGTAAGAAAATTCTTAAAAATTAAGTTCATTTCAGATAATATTTGATTATAAATAAGGTTATAAATGAAATAGATTTATAATTTCATTGCAATAAGCAGTGGGATTTTTGAGGAGTTGTTATGGTACGTGTTCTTTTCCCAGGGTTAGGTTTTGCAATTGCAATAATTTATTCCAATAGACGCTTCCGCCTTTCCAGCACTATGTGACATTGTCATTGACCAGTGCCCCCGTTCAAACCTAAACTTGGAAGAATAATATTTTATGCTGTATATTGGAATATTAAATGAATATATATTTTGTTTTTGTGACACGTACTTTAAACAGAGTCATTTTCAGAAAGTGCATGGTACATGTAATTATTATTAAACGATTTAAATGATAAGATAAAATGAAGGAATGAAGCGAATTGTTGAATTGAGAGCATGAGTTGAAAAATAGAAAACAACCTAGAATTAAGTTGCTTACTGGTCCGTAACAAGATTTCGGAAAAAAAGCTCAGGGCGTTGCACTGGAAGGTTAAGCATAGGCTACGTATAAACAATTTAATTGTTTGCAAATATAAAATACAGGCAAATCACGAAGATATAAATATGACCACGACAAAGTGCCTTGCGAATGTAACCGTTCCTAAAATACGGTTCGCAAGGGCATGTAATGAACGCGGCCATGCAGTGAATAGACGGGCATGCGCAAATCAAACTCTGAAGTCACAAACAACAGACAAAATATGCCTATTATGCTTATTATAAAAAATACATGACAAGTACATAACATTTAAGACGAGATCAATAAATAAATTACCAACAAAGATTTTTCAAATCTGTCTTATGCTAGATAAATACCTCAATCAAATCGATAGAACTGTTGTTTGGAAAAAAACAAGTTAGTCAACATGGCTGATAATAAAAGTAGATTACTGGTTATTTGAATGATAACCAAAAAGCATTAATTATTTTCGCGTCAAATTTAACATCAATGTAATGCACATTTTAAAACAAATTATAAGAATAAAAACAAGTTGAGACGGCAAACATGATGTATGGGATTATTGGTTATTTAAACGGTAATAAAACAGGCCTTAGAATGTTTCAATTCAAATTTAACACTAATGTTTTAGTAATGCCCCGAAAGCGCACAAATCATAAAACAGCTAGCCATTTGTTGTATGTAGCCTAAAGTTATATGGAAGATTTCTTAATACAATTAGCTTAAAATAATTTTAGCGTAAAACAATTGCCTTTAGGAATGTATTGGATAATTTACACTTCACTGAATCATATTTTGTCGTAAATATTTACATATAAATGCGCATTGTAGTAAAGATCGCATTTTCATCGAATACACACCGAATTATAGTTTTTTCACGATTCTGGGCGGCGAACCAAGA